AGGCCTGGCGATGACGGGGCCTGTTGGCGATGGTGATGATCTGTGGTAAAGAGTGCAACGTTAGCAGTGCTCTCTCACACGAGACAGAGAGAGTAATCCAGGGTCGCGCCGCAAAGCCGAGCGGTCTCCACCCAGGGTAAGCGGGCCTTACCTCTAGTCGAGTGATGCAGCCACGATACATCTACACCATGTATGTCCTCCATGGCGGACGCAGCATCGGTCGATGTCTGGATGGTTGTCATTGTGTACCCGTATTATCCAGGGGCGACATGCGTCAGGGTTGCGAATACCCTCGGTGAGGGAGTCGGGAGTCTGCGGGGTCTGGCTGAGCTGAGTTCGGAGTAATCAACCCACGCCACGCGCTGATTGGAAATGCTGAGGAAATGCTCCCGGATGCTGTTCTGCCAGGAGCCGAATACAATATCAGTCGACCCGTGGTGCTCACGTCAGAACTTGGGCTCAAATTCAAAAAGCTGCCCTGTGCGATCTTCGGCCGATGGCGAGCAGCGAGGTGATGGCGAACGTGCGCGACGGTGCTTAGCACGTATGTATATTGGGGCCGGGGCGATGACGAAAGACGCTCTCGGCTGCTTGCTTCGGCTCCTCCTCAGCTCTCTCTCCGCCAACACCGTAATAAATATACAACCTACTAGTACGTATGTACTACTGCTTGCTACGTATGTGATTACTACTGCATACATACACTACTACATGTTGGCGTCTTTCCCGTCGTGACCAGTCGCGAACATGATGCAATCCTTGCCGGGCCCTCCCATCATCCGTACCCGGGGTCATGTGCCCCCTCGTGGACCCAGACACCTGACCCTCGCGAACCAATACTTACACACGCATACACAGCCAAGACTATCTAGAACCAAACCGCCAGAGGCAAACTCAAAGGCAAAATTGTCTACTTACACAACAGCCTGCTGCCATCAACGCGCAAATCAGATGGGCCATGTCATTGCATTTCACCATGTTTCACCATGTTTCACCTATGCAGAGCGAGTGGGCACACTTGTATGAAAAGGGGGTATCTTGTTTGCGACAGCCAACTGCGTGGCCCGTCGTCTTATCTTCTCATTGAGGGTCGTGAAAGGCTAAGTACAGAACATGTATCCTGTCATGACAGGCATGCTTCCCATGTCATCCCCAGACGCCAGAGCCGTACTTTTTTCATGATAGAACAGAGTGTGAAGAAGAAAGGGCTACCACTTAAGCAGAAGTAAGCTCGGCGATCTTCGCCTTGACGCGCTCCTCCTTCTCGGCCTTGGTGAGCTTCTTGGTCCTGTACTTCTTGGACTCCGCAGCCCACTCCTCCTTGGTCTTCTTGGGGCCAGCACCCTCCTCCTTCTTCCAGGGGTCCTCGCGGATCTGCTTGTGGGCATCCTGGTAGAGCTCCTCAAGGCCATCAGCCTCGATGTCGTCCTCAATGTAGCCGCTGAACTGGGACTTGTAGCGCTCCTCGTCGTCGTCGGCGAGGGTCTCCATGTACTCAGCAACGTGACCACCGAAGATGTACTTGCGGAGGGTCTCGGCGTCGAGCTCCTTGGCTTCGATGTCGTATCCAGGGAAACGGTTCTCGGAGTGGGGAACGAAGACACCACCGTCAGAGCAACCCTTCATGGCACCGAAGACACGGGCACCGGTGGAGGTGCGGGTGAGACCGACATCAAGGAAGACCTTGAATGGGCGGCGCTCCTCACCGTCAACCTCGGCGGCCTCGGTGAGGGTGAACTCACCATCAGCCTCCTCAACACCGACGAAGTTCTCGTCGATCTTGAGCTTCTTGAGAACACGGCGGGCAAGGAGGAGACCGGTGGCGTAGGCAGCGGCCCAGTTGGTAAGACCGTGGGTGATGCCGTAGGCCTTCAGCTCGTGAGCGCTGTGCGTTTGTTAACCGCAATTCATGTTGAGTCCAAGTCGCGTGCAACGTACTAAGCAGCCATGAAGACCTTGTCTCCGCCAATCTCGGAGTGGACGATTTGGCAGATGATGTCCTTGTTGGTGAAGCGAACGACGAGGCGGTACTTGGGCGCATTGTACTTGTTCTTGGCCTGGGTGATCAACCTCTTACGGGCATAGTAGTCGGCTGCCAACTGTTAGATGTGGTCGCAAACAAGGCAATTCGTCTAGTACGTACTCTTTCCCTGTCGGCGGCGCTTGTACTTGACTTGGTACCGCGAGAAGTAGGCGTCGTTCTTCTGGAGCTTGGACTTTTCCCAGAGTCAGCGATTTGCGCTTCAAACCCGCATTCGAAGCATCTCGCAAAGACTCCACTCGACAAACCGTCGAAGCGGGGTTGCCGTGACGGCGGTGATAGGGAGGGAGTTCTCGTTGCGAGAGCAACTTAAGGTGTACTTACGAAAGGCATCTTGACCGGCTGCTGTTAGTAGATTCGGCTGAGGAGAGAAAGTTCGAGGGTGGTGGTGCAAGGCGTCTGAATATTGGAGTGGGCGCTCGGACCATGTCGCTTAGTAGCGATGTGCAAGTCGCAACTTTCAAGGTGGGTGACCACGCAAGCAAGCAAGCTCGCTCCCGATGGGTGACCACGAGTATCGGGGACGAGACCTGAAAAATGCATGTACAACTGATATGAAGCATTTGGGGAGATGATAAATCATGAACATGGCTCTTTTTTGGCATTGATTGCATACATGAGATGATCCTTGGGCAGCACGCAAGCAGTCTCTCTTGGGTGCCCAACTGGAAGAAATCCGTGCTGGGACCAAATAATATAACACATTACATTCGTCTAACAATTCTCAGCCTGAAATTAGAACGCAGATTTTGGTATAATCAAAAGTAGCCGGTGCATTTCAAGTTGTAGCTCGACCATCTGCTTTGCCCGTTTGAATGCTCACGGACCCCCGGCCAGCCATCAGCGCCCCGCCGCCAACGTCGTCAACCTCAAGGCACGTAGGCACCCGAGCTACAGCCAGCTCTCAACATCCACCCTCCCTCACCCCAGCAACTCTCCAGAGCCTTTTACAAGATGGCTGAAGCTCCTATTGGTAAGCAATGCACCTTTGGTAATTCTAGAGGCTCTGCTTACCCTACCAATTAGTTCTCGATGGCGGGACTGGTTTCCTGAAGGCGGGTTATGCCGGACAGGTGAGTGTCGATTGGAGCACAACACGAAACCTGCAAAGCTGACCATGGCTACTACAGAACTTCCCGGATCACCAGTACCCTTCGATAGTCGGCCGGCCCATTCTGCGAACCGAGGAGCAAAACACGGGTGATATTCAGCTCAAGGACATCATGTGCGGTGACGAGGCTGCAGAGGCGCGCTCAATGCTTCAGATTACCTACCCCGTATGTGGTCATTGCAAGGGAATGGTTGTCCAGAATTACACACTGATCACTTGACATACAGATGGAGAACGGTATCGTGAAGCGCTGGGACGACATGCAACAACTGTGGGACTACACTTTCTACGAGAAGATGAAGATCGACCCAACTGGCCGCAAGATCCTACTCACTGAACCGCCCATGAACCCCCTCAAGAACCGCGAGACCATGTGCGAAGTCATGTTTGAGCGTTACAACTTTGGTGGTGTCTACGTGGCTATCCAGGCTGTGCTGGCTCTATACGCACAGGGTCTCTCATCTGGTGTAGTCGTCGATTCAGGAGATGGTGTTACACATATTGTTCCCGTCTACGAGAGCACCGTGCTCAACCACCTCACTCGACGTCTTGATGTCGCCGGACGTGATGTGACCCGCAATCTCATCGCGCTCCTTCTACGGAGGGGATACGCACTGAACCGAACCGCCGACTTCGAAACGGTGCGACAAATCAAAGAGAAGCTCTGCTACGTATCATACGACCTCGAGTTGGACCAGCGCCTCAGCGAAGACACAACAGTGCTGGTGGAGTCATACACTCTTCCGGACGGTCGAGTGATCCGAGTGGGCAGTGAGCGTTTCGAGGCCCCTGAATGTCTGTTCCAGCCTCACCTTGTGGATGTGGAACAGCCCGGTATCGCCGAGTTCCTGTTCAACACGATCCAGTCGGCCGATGTGGATGTGCGAAGCAGTCTGTACAAGGCCATTGTGCTGAGTGGTGGAAGCAGCATGTACCCGGGTCTGCCCAGTCGGTTGGAGAAGGAGCTGAAGCAGCTGTGGCTCACCAAGGTTCTAGGCGGAAACCCAGAGCGACTCAACGTGAGTAACAGATTGATTGTTGGGGTCACTGGCACTAACACTTGTGTAGAAATTCAAGGTGCGCATCGAGGACCCGCCTCGGCGAAGGCACATGGTCTTCTTGGGAGGTGCCGTGCTGGCAAACATCATGGCAGACAAGGAAAACATGTGGATAACAAAGGCGGAGTGGGAAGAACAGGGCGTGCGTGCTCTAGAGAAGCTTGGAGCGAGGGGATAGAGAAGAGGCAGTTGCACACGAGCAAATCCAACAAATTCACGGCACCATGACTGACACGCACGTTGGATGGGAAACCTTTGTTGCTTTTTTCTTTGTTGCATGCAGTGAGAGGGTCATGTGTCTTGTCAAGATTGGCGTGTCTTGTCCCGCACCCTGCAGCCGTCATTGTTGTTGTGTAGAGAGTTTGGAAACGTGGGGTAATTAGCTCTTCCAACGTCACTGGAGGCGTCATGCCACAGTAGTTTTGGCTAGTAGAGAGGCGGTGGACGGACTTTGTAGGGTGGTTCGGGTCGCCGGGTGCAGTGTGGGAAGTGAGCACAAGCAGGTAGCGGAACGTTAGCCGTTGCTGGATACAGTGGTACACGCACAGGTAAGCGGATTTTGAGCTAGACTGCTTGTCCCTGCATGGAATGTCGGTGTCTTGCACGTGTACAGGTACATGGTGGAGTGCATGCTGTAAAGTGTGAGTGAAGTTGATGACGGCATCTAGGGGCGGACCGAAAAGCCGCGATGTTTCTGTGGGTGGTGGTCTAACGGCACAAGAGGGGGAATTCTAGTTCATCGTCATAGCGAGTAACTAGGGAGAGTGCTAGAAGATCCATGGAGTTTTGTCTAGAACCAACTACCAGTCGAGGCGCATCTGGACGTTGGACATGGAGACGGATGGCTTGCCACTCGGTGAAGTACGGGGTGAAGTTCGGGGGGCTTGAGGGGAAAGACGCGTCTTGGATCTCGATCGATGGTTGCCGCGAATTGGGTCGAAGATGTGTGGCGTCGCTGGCACACGGCACTACACGACACTACACTGCACTACACTGCACTACACCTACAGCGCCTACACCGACGCGTATGCCTAGTAGGGTCACGATGGTGAACTGGCGCTGATATAGTGTTGTGTGGTGTGGTGTTATGTAGTGTGGTGTGGTGTGGTGTTGTGTTGTGTCTTGCGGGCGTTTTCTCCGTCTACTATGTACATAGTACATATGTATGTACACCACCCACACCACACATACACGCCGATATGCGCCACGACACGGCACGGCAGAGCGCAACAGAACAGAACAGAACAGAACAGCGCACATTCGAGCAGCCCCCGACGGGCAGGACTGCAACGGGCGCGCACACGCAGGGCCCCCCGCGCTGCAGGGCAAATTGGAATTCAGGTTTGGCCATGGCGTCTTCGCACAACGCGTTTAGCGCCGGGGCTGGCATTGGGGTTGGAGAGGGCAGCCGGTATTCTTGTTCTTGTTGCACTGCGTCATCAAAGCCCATGGTGCACAAGGCAAGGAACATTCACCACCACCGACGGAAAAAAACGCCCCGCCCTCCACCATCATGGCCATGCACATCGGCAAACCAGGGCCACCCATTCTGCATGACGAGATAGTCATGCCCACGTAGCCGTAGCCATAGCCGTAGCTATCCACGCACCGCCAACACGCCGGGCCCTGTTCCCTTCCCACTCGCTGAGATTGGGCGTCGCCAGCAGCCCCAGCAGCCCCAGCACCACCTCCCTTGGCGGGTGCGAGCCACCATTATTGAAACGGGCTCCACACGGCGGCCCTGTACCCTGCAACCCTCTCAGGCACGATTACCGCACGACGGCGCCTCCAAGCGGAAGATCACCGCCCTACTATGCCATTAACATCGGCTACCATCCCCGACGCCTGCTGGACCCTCCCACTACCAAATACATCCATATGCCTACATATATTGGTCACCGCCGCTGCCTGTGCCTCGTTTCCCCTCGGCACTGCGCTACTCTCCTCCACATCCACCACTACTATTTGGGAAGACCGTTGGTATATCAATCCAGCCAGCCCGTCTCCTTTGTTCAAAAAGGTCAGACGAGGTCCTCTCGCCACCCCATCATATGAGATCGCCGCCAGCGTCGCCCTCTCTTTCGCGAGTCATCTTCAAATCCGACACCACCTCTCACCACTCCCATCACCACCACCACCACCAGAATATGCAACGATCCTCTGACCGCACCATGCCTGCCATCAGTTCTCCTCTGTCCCCCAGGTCCCAACCTCTCGATATCCCTTCCCAGGCTCGACGCCGGCCAGCTCTGAACCCGCGTCAGTCTAGCAACCATGGTCCTGCTGCCCATTTAAGGCTTCCCTCGCTGCCTCGCTTCCATCCCGCCAACTATGCCTCTTCCCAAAGCTCCAGCCACTCCAGCCAAGCAAACACACCAATCGCTGGTCCCGACAGCCCGCACTCGCCCGCCTCTCCTCGATCATCCAACAGGCAATTTGAGGTCCAAAGACAAATGTACCTCTACCAGCAGCAGCTTCTCGCCAACACTAGCCGTCAGCACAAGGGCTTTGGACCCAGGCCAACCAGCCCTCGTCTTGAGCCTCTAGCTAGCCCTGGAGCCGTCACACCCCTAGAGCTCGAGGATGAGGTCGGCGGCTACCTCACAGCTGGTGTAAGCCGAGCCGAGGCCGACCAGCACGTTGAAAAGTTCATTCGTGAGGAGGCTCGTCGTCGAGGCGAGTACTCTCCCGGCAGGACCACCTCCGTCGGCGGCAGATGATTTTACCACTATCACCAACCCGCACCGTCTATACAAAAGTTGCCTAAGCATCAACACAAAACAAGTCATTACCCTACACGCCTTTCCTTTGGTTACACACCCGGAGTTTTTACTGTTCTCATACGGCCATGGCAAGGAGCATTCACGGCGTTCATCACCACACTCATCCACGAAAATAAGACAAAAATAACAAGGAATCACGTCAGATACAACAACACCATAGAAGGAATGTTGTGGAAACGGTCTCATTCTTTTAGAGCATGGACGCGCGCAGAAATTCTCCTTGTCTCATCACCTCCAAGTGCTGGAGCGTGGCATCGGTCGCTTTTCCTTTTGTCGAATACCCAAACCAGTGTTACTATTATTTTTTGCCCCAAAGCATGTACGGCATCTCGCCTGTCCTTAGCTTCACTCCGCAAGCGCTCCACTATCATCAGTGTCGAGCTGGACAGATGACGGGTCTTTTTTTTATCTCTTCTCTATACATACATAGCTTGTGAATTCAAAACTTACACGCTTCCAAAACAAGACTCTATTATTGAAATGCCGTTTTCAGATATGCTGCTGCCTCCATGTCCCAAACTAATCTATGTACAGTGAAACATACACATGTCTAGTCAGTCACACCCCCAACAAACATTATTCGCCACACATCACACTCCCCGCTCACAACCCAAATGTCCTTGAAACCTTGTCTCAACAACCCATGCACACCACCCACCACCCACCACCAGAAAACAGTCCCACTCACGTGAATCGCCTTGCCGCGCTACCCGTTTCCGGGCCCCATCTCTCCCCCCTGCGACTTCGCCTCTCCACACCTCAAGCGCATGTCTGTATCCACTAACTACGCCCATCATCACCTTCGCAGCAAGCATTCGCATCAGCACGCGCAGCAACGAGTAAGCAAAAGGTAAAGCCCCAAAGAGAACCAAGCCAAAAAGAATACCCACATGAAACTCTGAAATCAACCGCCGCACCCAACGCACGCACCGCAGCGCCATGCAAAAACTATCCCTACCCTTTTGAAATCCCGATCAGCAGGTTAAGGGTATCCACTTAAAAGGTTGTGTGCTACTATTCCTTTTTTTTTGCTTTGCTAGTAGGCTTGGCTTGGTCCTCCCTCCTCCTCTTTTCTTCCCCCATCTTCTAACCCACTTCCTGTTTCGTAGACACACATTTCACACGTGTAAAGTAGCTTGACTGGAAAACATGAAGAAGAAGAGGAGGGTTGGAGAGGGGGGGGTGGCTGCACACACACACATACGCCGAATTCCACAATTGTACAGGTGATAAGCTGGGCTCGTGCTGAAGAATCCTACGGGGAGATCCTTTGGGAGCCGAAGTAGAGAGAGGGGGGTGTGTGTGCCGCTGTCGCGGGTGGTTTTCTTTGCTTGGCCGAAATGAAAGCGTGTGTGTGTAAGTGAGTAATTTTAAGGTGGGTTGGTAAGTAAATCATGATTTTTCGCGTTTGGGCTTGGTGTTATGTATTCTTCGTATACAGATGTGGATTTTATTACCGCTTGTTCCTTGTTTTAAAGGATTATACTAGTTATAGTTTGATGATAGTTTTGTGGCACGTGTGTGTTTGTTCTATGTATCTCCGTACGTGTGTGGGTGGGTGTGTTTTTAGAAAACGTGAATGTTACCGGCTAGATACATGCGTAAGTTCCAACGTTGTGATGAGGGGGGGGGGGTGGGTAACGCGTTAAAGTTTCGATGTTTCCTTTCATAAACACAACCCTCCCTTCCCTTCCCTTCCCTTCCCCCCGTTCGTATAGAGCGCAACCGAGGAGAAAAAAGGGAAATGAAATGAATGACGTGCACGAGCAGGAGGACAAAAAAGAATGGGGATTAGAGCGGACCCTGAAGGAGTTTTTTCCCTTTGTTGCGCTTCACGATCGCGTACAGTAGGGGGATGCAGGTATGCACGGTGCGCACTCTAGTCTCGCGTATAGCGGTAATACGTGCAGTGCATGTGTTACTCTTCTCTGATTTGCTCAACTCGACTCACATCGTCTCTGTTTATCTTATTGGCAAAGTCTTGCTGGGTTTATTTAATGTGGATTGATTTTATTCTTTTTTTGCAAACAGACAAGTCACAGAGCGAGCTGGACAGCCACTAATCGTGCGCCGATTCCACTCCTAAAGCGGAATATCAAAGACCAAACTGGGGAAAAAGGGCCGTTGACCGAATTTCACGCAATTTCACTCTTTAACCCCCCAGTTCCATATCACGGCTGGGATATAGCCTGCTATGCAAGAGATATTCATGCCGTGTTCACTGCTTTTGGACAAGACAGGGAGAAGTCGTACGTGTGGGGGCTTCGAACGGTACGTGGTATGTACGTATTCGCCCGATATGAAAACAAACCACAAATGCCGCCGGATGGGATTCAAACCGCAAAAGATACGTGTGGCATGGATACGCTTGCTTGATTCGCCCGGTGAAAGGGGAGGGGTAGGCGGAATGCATAACGACATCGTTGTGCATGATGTCTTGTCCAAGAGCGCTAGGACGGTTCCGAGCATTCGCAAACATTGGCATAGAACGGCGCGGACATGTGTCCTCTGCATCCTCGTATGATCAAGGGACCAAACCATTGCTCCGATTTCCCCTTTTGAGTCACACAGATACAGTTGGTCTGTCTTTGCACAGGCGATGCACAGGCAGTCTCGAGAACCAATGATAAAGGACTGAACGGACGCGTTCCTTTTCTCGCGAGATATGGCAACCGCCCGTCCCTGCATCTCTTGATGGTGTGTACCTTGATAACAGCATAGCCCGATTGGTTAGCCGTGCTGTCGTTGTTGGTACCAGCGTTGCAATGGTGTGTTGTTCGCCCCCCTCCCTTCCGTCACGGAACAGGGGTGCCGAAGAATGCCATGAATGTGGGGAGGTTGGCTTGTGCGCCACAGTCGAAATGCAGGGTGAGATGAACTCCGGTGTCGTAGCGCTTGATAGGTAGGATAAGACCGTCTACCAAGACACTTGGATGGAGTTGAGGCAATTTCATCGTGGTGGATGAAGAGTGCGCTGCATCACATGTTCCATCAACGAGTCGCAACCCAGCATCCCAAGATGTCTGATGGTCAAGTCCGTGAGATGCCGAGCCGGATTTCAATGACTAAGTTGAAGATCAGGGTCATGGAGATCTTATCGCGGTTCCTTTTGGTGTGCTCATCACTCATTCGCCACATATGTTGAGGATTTAGTCGACGGGAGAATTGCCAACTATGCCCCTGTTGTGCGTACAGCGCGTACTGAGTCGTAAACGCTGCGGTATGGTGTTGCGATGGCTTCGTGTCTTGATACGGCAAGTTTGCTAGCTTCGCTCGAATGGATTGGAGCATAGTACTCCGGCATTGGCCTTGTTAGCACCCTGGGTAGGTGTCCATGCCGCTCAGTGACCGGCCGCCTGTCGCCGACTACTCGTCTCAACCTTCCGTTCCATCTCTTCCGCAGTTCGACGCCTAGTTTAGCATACGCTAGCGACTTGAGCCGCGTGCTGCATGTTGCTAAATTGCAACACCATGCATGGAGCCATTCATTTGCCGTCTCTGTCCTCTCACCGCTCATGCTTGAAAGATCCTACCGCTCAGCGTGCTCTATCGCAACGGCTCATGGCGCCACTGCAGCGCAATGCTGGCAATGCCTGCTGCCGGATTCCTTGTAATCAAGAAAATGGGTGCGTGTTCCACACATTTGCGTTCGCCTATGGCTTGTCTCCAGTAGTCTGTCTTTTTTCTCCTCTAGGCACTCAGTAGGCTGTTTCAAAAGCGACAATCTCTCCCCACATGTCGCGTGTGTAGTAAATGTGTAAGCAGCGGGATGCTGAGATCGAAAAGTCAAGATGACGACTCTGGAGGGAACGACATACGTCAGAAGTCGTTGTCCATCGATCGCAAGGGTGTGCGGGAGCGTCAGTGCGTCGCTAAACTCCTTTGGGCTAGCCGTTCCGAAATCGCCTGCTGGTTTTGGTGAAGGATACAGCATGAATCAGAAAAAAAGACATGGTAAACTTGTCCATCTGCACTCGCGCCAGCCGCAACCTCTCTACTGCACACAACCCCGCCATGCCGCTCACTCATGTTAAAATCATCCATACAAGTTCAACAGCTTTCCCGTGATCACTGTGGGCCAGCAATGGCCTCGTGGTCGTCCTGGGATGTTTTTCTCCACACTAAACGGCCGCGGACGCGTATCGAAGACTGACTTTCGCATCTCCACATTTGCACCACCTGGCACCCCGCGATTGATGCGCATATCATGACTGGAGGTGTAGGGATTAGTCTGCCCTCACCGACATGGTGTCCCATCCAACGCCCTACATCCTTGATCAATGCACAGCTGTACTCTCCATTACAAGATCTGCAAGACATTGTGGTACAGCTACACCTAGTTGTCCCCCGAAACTGCTTGCGTATGCAGCGTGACATGGATACGCTCTCGGTATACGCTGGGGCGTCGATTAGTTGCATAGCGGCTCATCTACATTTTATCGGCACACAATGCGGCCTTGCGTGGTTGGTCCGGTCACATTCCCCGCGGCGCTCATCACCTCTCACTGTCAGGACTCGAGTAGGTTGTCCTTTTCAATGAACACTGCGGCTTGGCGCAGTTCGTGGCATATTCTGTAGAGATGAATATCAACAAGTCGAGCCATTGAGGTGAGATTCTTGCAATTTCCGGACCTCTTACTCACGCTACTGCGCAGAAAAGCTAGACAAAATGTGAACACGCGTTTTCGCATAAGCTTACCTCGGCTATGGAGTGCACAGCCTCTCTGTTCGACTTCATGCTCAAGAAATCAAGATCGAAATCAATAATAAAATCATGAGCAAGACCTGATCTCTGGCAACATGGTATGATACCTAGGTACCTACCAGAAACAGCAAATCAAGTGGACCGGAACGCCAGCCACCCCAGTCCCATGTTCCGGCTCTATTCCTTGAAAAGTAAATAACAACCCGCTAGAATTTATCATGGCACAGGTCATCTTCGATCTCTTGCACATTCCCCCATACCATCTGACGTCAAACGCGACATGCCACAGCCAAATTTACAGACGGGTCATTGTGGTCGGCCCTTCGCAATCGGACCGCTTAGACGAGAAAAAAAGGGCCGTCTGTTCATTATAGCAAGTTGATCTTAACCACACACCTCATCTAGGTCGCAAAGTTTTCTTATTCACTTTGTGTTAATTGTGGGGAATGAGTATGCGTTTGATGATGATGAGATGCGGTGGTGTTGACAATATCGCCTTTGTTGGGCTCCAAGGATATTATAAGACGAGCAAGGAAGGCGCATGGAGAGGCATGTATTGCACTGGCTTTGCTTTCTCCGATCGACAAATGCACAGCGCCGGATTCAACGACCATGACATTTGGTTGCGCTCATCTAACTGCGGTCTTATTCCCCTTTTGATATACCACGATAGACGGCGCAGTGGCATTTTCTTGTCAGTTATCATCTGACGGTTGCACTTGATTATGCCGGTCGGTCCATTTCGAGAGTGATCATTTTGCCTGTCCAGGAAGTGTTCGGTGGAGCAACATTTGCGAGATTCTAGAATGTCCGACTAACGAACACTGCACCACTGTGCGCAGTCCTCGCCCCAAAAGGACTGTAAAATATGCATTGACTAGATCTCATATGGCTGCATACTTTCATTCTCTGCAGCTTTTGTCAATCATGGGTTTCCTCTGTGTAAAACTGTGGGATGCTTAGCACATATCTCACAACAGAACTAGTATACTCCAGTACTTCTATACCGTGAGCAGGTCATGCCTTTCTCACACTCGTTCTGGTAAATAAGATATCTGCAACAGTACGAAAAAATACCAACAGATTTATCAATAATATCTGCGACTTTTGGCTACTCTGCATCACATTCAATTCAAGATCAACATCTAGGGTAAAGATGCAACAAGCAACAAAACATGTCATTTGTTGACTTAATCTGCATCACCTCAACTTGCTTTGCGTAGCTTTTTTTTGTAACTCATTCTTGACGGATCATCTCCTGTCAACACAGCGATGGACACTGTAGGTTACTCACAAGGTGCTCCTGTTTGAATGATATATGTATGTATATTAAATGCAAAATTGCATGAAGGTGAGTAAAGATCAAGTTCGCGTACACTTCTTGCACGCGTCAGGCCCACTTAGTTTTGACATGACACATCGTTTCTCCTTCTTTCAATACACAACCATTTCAGCAACCAAACACGACCACTAACCTCACCCAGATCTTCTGTCAAAATCCTACTCTGACCCACAGACAACACCCTCTTCACCTACTCATTCTCACTCAAAACCAAAGGATGCAAAGATTTTAAACCAGACTCACTATTCATTCATCTATATACAATTGCTTCTCTCTTATTAGAAAATGTGTTCGCGGCCAGGGGCAGCCCAGAGAAACCCGTGCAGGCAAAACCCCCTTCATACAACTTTCCCTTCCCCACCATCCATCCCTCCAATTAAAATCCAAACAAAGGAAAAGACTTGTAAAAGAAAAGAGACTGATGCGAAACAATCAACTCAAGTAAAAAAGGAGAAATGAGCGTATGATAAGGTCAATTATATACACCAAGACTTAAGGAAAAAAGTCTTGATGTAAGTAAAAGAGGGGGAAAAATCATGCACCGCACCAATTTACTTGATAATCTTGATAGTTGAAGATTGCCCAGCAAAATTCAATTATCGAAGTGTTGATCATTCCATCTCTTTTTTCCCTTATCTCTTCTTCTGTTCCCCGTCCTCTTTCCAAGCTCTTCTCATTACATTAAGGACATCCCTCACTCTCTCTTCTCACATATACACCACCTCATATCCAATAAGATTGAATATATTGACGAGCTTACTCGGGCTTTCCGAGGATACCACGGGCCATGTGGCGCTTGCGGAGGTTGTACTCGACAGCCCTCTTCTTGGCCGCAGCGCTCTGGGTGAAGGCAGCGGAGCCACCAAAGGGACCGGCGAGAGCTGCGTTTTGCATGCGGACGACGCAGACGTTGGAGGCACCTCCAGCGGTACCCTGGCAGGTCATGCCAGCGGGCATCTGGACCTTGACGGGGAAGTCGGTGGTGGAGGCAGCAGACAGACCTCCGATACCGATACCAGGAACGTTCTGGGTGACCTGGGCGTCCTGGAAGGCAGCGGGGTCGGTACCGCCGGAGGTGGCATCGATTTGGGCAGTGAGAGGACCGGCACCGTCCTGGTTGACTTGGTGGAAGGTCATGGTGATTGTGCCATCGTCGCTGGTGGTGGGGAGACCAGTGGACGCACCAGAGCCAGCAGCGGCAGCGACACCCTGTTCGGTGGTTCCCTTAGGGGTCTTGGTGCCTGCACCGGCACCGCCAGCACCGCCAGCGCCGCCGGTGAGGGCATCGAGGAGACCACGCTTGTTGCCACCGAGGCCACCAAGGAGACCAGCGAGACCTCCAGCAGCGCCACCGGCACCACCAGCACCGCCAGCAGCAGCACCTGCTGCCTTTGCGGCACCTGTACCTGCACCAGCGGCACCTGCACCGGCAGCGTTGGCACCAGCAGCCTTGGCACCAGCGCCAGCAGCACCGGCACCAGCACCAGTGGCACCTGCACCAGCAGCATTGGCACCAGCAGCGTTGGCACCAGCACCAGTAGCGCCAGCAGCACCAGCAGCGCCAGCAGCGCCGGCACCAGCAGCACCAGTACCCATGAACTTAGCAATAGCCGCACCAGCATCTACAGGACCGGAAGCGGTACGTCCAAGAGCAGACGCCTTGCCACCCATCTCCTTGGCACGGATGATGGAAGTATCAGCCTCGGAACCAGAAAGCGGGTTACCAGAGTCGCGAGGAGTGCCATCAGCGACGGAAAGACCGGGCATGGTGACACCGTTGGCACCAATGGCCTGGGTGATGACACCGTGGGCCTGGACGGAGGCTGCGAGGGCAGCAGTGAAGACGATGGAGTAACGCATGTTGATGGTGGTGATATGTGAGGTTGGTTAGGGGTAATTTACAAGAGTGATGTAATAGAATGATTTTTTGAGCGTGATAAGAAGATGAATAGAGCAAGCGTCCGGCGCAAGTAGAAATTAGAAGGATGGAATGGATAAGAGAGAATTAATAAAGAAGAAGAAAGTGAGTCTGGTTGGTTTAATGGTTTGAATGATGATGATTTTGACTTGGGGGGCAGGAACCCAGTGTCTTATATACACTTTGATTCTCTGCCTCTCTTGTCCTTCTGCTGTGTAAAACAGTAATGGCGTCAATGCCCAGAAGCTTAGCTGCACACAAGCACTTCGGGAGGCCCCATCCTAGTTTCCGGTGTGCCCAGGCGTCTGTTTGTTGGACGGGGAAATCAAATTCACCCTTGGTTCCGTGCCTCAAAACGGTAATCGAGTCGGACTGAGGTCGTGATACCCGGGGCACAGACGCTGAGCTGTGGACTGAGACGGTGTAGGTCGAACGATGGGCGTGGGACACTTCACTACAGCCAAGCGTCCGAAGCGATACTCCACTGTGGGATGATCTTCTCCAGAAGATTGGGGCAAGCATGTCCCGTATCCAGGCAGGCGATCAGAGGCAGTCGTGTTGCCTCGGTACCGACTGCATTGATGTTTGGCATCTGAGAAGAATGATCCGCATATTCGTATCACCAGGCATGTTTTGTGCCAGACTTGGCGATTCAAACACACATGCTGGAACGAGGTTTCGATGTAGACAGCCTTGCTCTTGCGGTCCAGTTACTGTATCGTAAGAATTCCGGTCTTCCAAGGCCCGTTTGAAAGCCCTAACATTATACACCGACAAAGTCAAGATGATAGTATCCCACAAGAAGCATCACCCACGCAGGGTCTTCCGGTGTTGAACGGTTAGCCACGCAGCCGGCGCTGGAATAAAGTTGATGGTTGTTTCAGTGATTGAGGGTTGAAACTCTAAAGTTTGGACTCGGTCGTGGACTAGCGTGGTCTACTCTTTTGCGGAACAATGACTGCCAACCCCGATTATTTCCGAAACATTCAAAGCCACCCCCCCGAATATGGCAACAACACGGTTTCAACGTGTCACTCATACTCCGGGAAGCACTTTCCCATCTAAGCAAGGTTGGCAATTGCAGCTTCGACAAGTACTGCGGTGGGATAACATGCAGCAAGCCACAGTTTCTGGATTCTGTAATGCCGTGTCATGGTCTTCTCCGGTGTTTCGTTGCCCGCGTCAATGACGAAAGAGAAGATATGCGGATTGACTATTCGTTTTCTGGAAGAATACTGAAATTTCCATGGACGTTTGCGAGACTCTCGTGCTCTCGTAGTAACCTCGCCACATAGCAAACGTTGTGATATACTGTTTCGACGCATCGCCTTCTTCACATGATAGCCAAGAATAGTAGCGATACTCCAAGTCGTAGCTCTAGTTCGTCTTGTCTCTATCTTCTTGTCGACCAATTTCGTATTACACATCTTTCAATCATCCCAAGGCCCTTGCTCTATCCAAGCCCGGAACTCGCGAACTTCCTTCATCCACAGGTACCTGATGCATATCTCCTGAATCTCAAAAATGAGCATTCCAGCGTCCAACTTGCCCTTGCTCATAGAATTCTTGATAAACAACAGCAGGATGCTGATAGCACGGGTCTGCGCTTCTTTCCCGTATTCGACAATCGGTATACCGTTTGTAGTCAGCTCCGAAGTTGGCGGAGGTGCCTCCATGGCTTCTATAAGCCGTAACGCGTGCTGTATAAACCGAAGGATGATGTTCGGACCGTCGACATCAAACTCCCCGAAGGTATCATCGACAAGGAGTCTAGTAAGAAAATCGAGCGACGAAATCTCAAGAGGGAGACGCGCGAGTTCATCGGCAGCTACATCGGGTGCATCCCTGAGCTTTCGCAACATACCCTCTTCCCAAGACTCTGAGCCATTGACTCCCTGTGTCTTGCTCTTGCGCAATCCGTTCCTTTCCGTCCCATTCTGCGCATGCTTTTCCACAGTTTGTGCCTGCGTCTCCGGTAGCCTGTCCCAGATCTGTGTCTCCACAAGCATCTGCATATACGGTACAATGTCGAAGTCTGGCAGCGCAGCCTCATTCTCGAGCATTCGCTGGTATGCGCGCCAGGTTGGTTCCTTTGGAGGTAGTGGCTTGTCCACCAGCAAACCCTTGATACACCTTGCTCTGATCCGCAAAATCTCATCCGTCGTGACCGTATTCTTCATGTGGCTATTCGTGACCGTGTCCAGCTGCAGCGCAGCGAGCTCCCCGTCAATGACTATAAGCGATTCAATCCAATGCGATAAGAAAGGCTTAAATCGCATTGATATCCCCTCGTTCATCTTCCAGAGTTTGTACTCGCAGTTCAAAATGGCCGCGAGCACTTCCAGGCTCGGCTCGACGGCAGCTCTACGTGCGAACGCATCGAGCGTATTCTTGATCCTCAGTGATTCCTCAAACTGGTCTGTATTGCCTCGTATCGATTGAGAAGCCACGTCTAAGTCGCGAATTGTCTCATAGCTCGGTCTGTTTGGATTGCTGATAAGATTGATTTCTGCATGGCTAAGGGTAGCAGTGAGATAGCTCATATCGGGCGGCATTTATATCGCGGCTTGCGCTTCGAGGGATAGGAATGTTGCGAGTAAGACGTTGATCGCTGAAGGGAATACATAGGTTCGAAATGGGCAATGTGTCATGGCCGTGGGTGGTGGTGGTATTGGTGATGCTGCACAACACGTAACCTTGGAAAGAACGAGTGGCACGTGCCAAGCATCGTGCTCCGCCCGCAAGACTAGCCATACGCAGGGGAGTCGATTTGTACGCGTGACATTTGGGCGACAGTTATTGAATGACAGGCATTGGGCTGTGAAAAAGCAATGTGTTGGAGGTAAATGATTTGTTCACATTATGCAAACACCTGTTGTCACAAGGCTTGACCAGTTGTAGATGTGGGCCATATTTTAGTTGCAGCGTTAAATACTGCATTTAACGATTCAGTCACAATTCCCGAACAGGATGGAGATAGCACGAGTAAAGCTTGTAAAGTGCCCCATTAAATTCCTATTATGATACGCTCCTCGGAATGCTCCAGGATGCACCAAAAGCAAACCAAAAAGTAACCCAGGAAATAAAGGACGCCGTGGTACAAAGCAGGTCATTATCATATGCTCAAAGCCCAACCGGTGCTGCCATCTCGGTCCGCGTCATCCGACTAATTCCATGCCGATTAGGAGGACCCAGCATGGATGCATCGAGAGATATTTACAAGCTGAGCGGAGGCGGATAAGACTTTGGTGGTAGTGGTGGTAGTGCTAAACAAAAGAGAAAAAGATGGGTATCGTGATGATTTGACAGCAAAGTCATAACCGTTAACGCGGCATCGTAAACATTCGTCCGCGGCCCGGCTAGAATTTGAATATAATGTAGAGGGCATGAATGATACCCTGGGATGAATCGGTTAGCTGCATTGCAATCGGCTAATGTATTGGGTAAGCGGAACTCACCGGAATGTAACCCAGGATGGTCAACAGGATGTTGATGAGGAAGTCGGCGCCGCAGCCGCGCTCGAGGAAGACACCGACGGGTGGGAGGATGATGGCAAGGAGGATCTTGCAGATGTCGCTGGTGTCTAATTAGCATCGTGCCGCCAACAAAAGTAGAGAGAGCGCGCGCGGTGGCTAAGGCTGAACATACCTAGCGGTGAAAGGCATGGTGGTGGTTGCTGATGGGTTTCTCGGTAAGAAGAAGTGGTTGTTTGGTGATGTTCAAGGGCTGTACAAGTAACTTGAATGTAACTTGAGGGTGTGGTAGAATGGGCAAGCAACAGTGGCATGCAGCGGAGTATTTATGGAAGACTGATGGGAGTAGGCCCATGACCACACAAGCATGACGTAACAGATGAGGGTGGCAGGGATGTGACTGATGCCGCGCACCCGCTGCCGGTTTTTGGCGCCACAACCAACACACGCGCCTACCACTGTGGCTGGCGTCATACGTCCGACACATCCGATTCCAGACCAAGGTTCCAAGCCATCCCAAGGTCGGCCCACCACAGCGCTTCCACGCTCTCAAGGCTCACAGGGAAGAGCCGCTCTCTCCTAGGTGACGCATGCCACGCTGAGAACGGAGCGCACGGCAAACAGTAGGCACACTTACTTCTACTTGCACAAACCCCCAGCGACCTGGGTATGTACAGTAAGCGCAGAAAGCTGCATGCATGGAAACCCTCACCACGGACGAATCCAGAACCGCGTATCCGCATGTAACAAAAAGTATCCCCGGCGTCCCCCCGAGGCCCTCTTCCGTTGTCATACGCATCAAAAAAAAAAACTTACTAACTTGGCCCCTAAGCCACAATCATGCGGATGCGTAAGCCACAATCATGCACAAGCCACAACCGTGCACGCGCCACAGTAGATACGCAAGCGCCTATGACAACGTTTGCTTGTCGATCTCTTTTCGCATCGCCGCCTAATCGTCATGTTCAACGCCTCAACATGTGGCGGTGTCGTTCTATGGATTCATAGTGGGTCTGTGGCTATAAAAACTCTGGGGAAATCTCGGGCTGCTCGGCAAATGGCTTAGGAGCCGCCGCCGCCAGGTTTTAGGAATTCAAGGCATAGCATGGTTGTGGCTGGTTTTTTTTCTCATGCCTTGAATGATCACCCTGTTCGTCATTTACATACTAACAATATGTACCGACGCAAGCATGCTGCATGAGCAAAAAAAATCACAGCCGGACGGTCTTGGCGCATTGCCAATCTTCTCCCAAAGTTTCCTGATCATTCGGACCTGACCTGCAATTTATTATTGAGACGACAATGTGCTGGGAAAGACTGCACGATAAGATCAACAAGCATGGCACGTATTCTCCAACTGTATAGCCAGCTGCAACGTGATCAAGTTACGAGAGCTCCGCCTCCTTCACACACTTTACACGCAACGACAATCTACCGGGAACAAGCCGAACGATAAGATCAAACGCATGGCACGTATCTTCCCGTCGTATAACTAGCTACAATGCGAAAGCTCCACCACATTTGCAGACCTCACACGCACCACGAGCTGCTGGGGGAAAGTGCGACAAGATAAAATCGGTAAATATCAAAGACCCTGTTTTCCAGTCGAACAACCAAAATACGATGTGACCGAAACACGAAAGCTCCGCTCCGTCCACAAAGTTCACACGCAACGACAAATCTGTTATAATGAAGGACTAGACGTATTTTCCAACCGTATACCCAAATCACGATTGCATCCAAACTACACGATTCCGACATGGAAATGCAAATAAAAGAAGAGAAAAAAAAACTTCCAGTCTCCCATTTGCAGACTCTACTACACAAGCAAACCTTGGGAATTTAACTAAATTACCACAAACCTCAAATCGCCGCGCAAAAAAAAAGGAGAAAACAAGCAGAAATCAATCAAAGGGGGGTATATTCACTATTCTCTCCGGGTATAATCTCACACCTCATTTCCCCTTTCCCCTCCCCCCTCTCTCCCTCTCTCAAAACCTACACCCATACTCACGCCCCCTCAGCCTCAGCCCTCTTCTGCAAATCCGCCTCAACCCCCCTCTGCCTCGCCTTGCCCTCATCATGCTGCCGTCTCGCCTCCTCCTTCTGCGCCTCATTCCCCGTGATGCCCGCAACCGCAGCCCCAATATTACCGCCTACACGATCTCCAATCCCCTTTCCGAGATCATTCACCTGGCCCGCTGCTTCCTGGCCTTTTCCCTCTTTGTTCTGGCGGATACCTTCTTGCTTTAGTCCCTCGGCGCCCAGGAAACCACCCACGGCTTCTTTGGCGGCGCCCACGTTTTGGTTCCACGCGCCGCTTGTGCGGTCCGGTGAGTCTTTGGCGATGCCGCCTTCGGGGGTGACGGAGATGGGACCGGCTTTTGCGGCGGTGTGGGAGAGGTCGTGTTTTTGGTCTGCGACGTCTTTGCGGGCTTCGCCTTGGGCCTGTTGGGGGGGAGGGGGGATGTTGTTAGGACTCTTGTTTTTTTGACGAGGTAATGTGTTTTTTTGGGGGGCGGGGGGGCGATGTGAATAGCTTACCTTGTCGGCAGTGTTACCAGTCAAAGACCCGATACCGCTCTGAACTGCGCCTACAGCCTTGTCCAGGTAGGACTGGCCGGTCGAAGTCTCGTTGGTAGACATGATTACTTGATGTTCGATCAGGTTTTGATATAGTTAAGAATACTCTTTTGCGTCAAAGGAACTTGAAGAAGCCTTCAAAAAAATATATATATGTTTATTGTTTGAGAATCAGGTATGTATTTCGTTCGCGTCTTTGCAGGTTTGAAGAGGTTTATATATACTTTTTCTTCTTCTCATTTGTTTGAGAAAAAGATCGCGACAGGATGGGGCATGTGAAGTATGACGTCACGCCCCCCCACCCCACTTGCATACGGAGATGCGCAATCGCAACCCAAAATACCCTGCAGCAAGGCAGCCGCCAGCAGCAGCGCTGACGACAGTGGCACTTTCCCTTACCGCCGGAGTGGGAGCGAGAGACATGTGGCATCCATATGAGAAAATTCTCGGGACATAATTCGTGTTGGCGTGGATGGGGGGGGGGTGATGCAATAGTTTCTCTCTCTGTGCCGTGGTCAGCTTCCAGGTTTGTATCACAAGTCTCTTACCATCTTGGTACACCACTACGATAGGGAGTTGGGGATGTATCCGTCGTATTCAGTCCAAGGTTATTGTAAAGAGTTATTTTCCAGCAACAATATTTTACGAGTACAGCAAAAAAGACAACAGTATGCACTAAGAAATACATTTATTATTGCACTTTCTCGCAATACTAAGAAAAGGAAATGGATATCAACATCCCCCAAGGCTATATTTCCCACAAACCCTCCAAAACACCCAAACACCAAAAAAAATTGCATTTTTCTTTTGACATGATCATCGTTTTTACCTCATCATTCACCAATGGCAGATACCTCCTTCACTATCGTCAACACTCCAGGTACCAGCAAGACCCACGACCTCGACCTCTCCGCCAAATCCCTCTGCCACCTTGCCCAGTCTTACAACGCCATCGAAAGCACCAGATGGCGTACCAAACTCGGCCGGTCCGTTGTTGAGCAAGCGCTTAGCCCAGGCATCGATTGCCGGTTCACCAGTCTCGTCTCTTGCTTGCTTGAGAAAAGGAATCAGAGCCGTACCGCCGGTTCCTCGAAGCTTCTTGCTGCCAGTACGAGCCATGGTATTGGCAAGATTGACACGCTGAGTAGTCGCTTGTTTGGGTGACAGAGACCGGGAATGTGATCGCGACTCGCGAGACTTGATAATAATGTATCGGGAGACGAGCTGAATGTGCTTGTCTCGTAAAGTCCGCAGCATAGCCAAGCACGCATCGTACGCCGTTGTCAAAGCACGGTTTCTCCGATTCGATGTAACGTATTCCCGGATATTGGCGATGCTCTCCATGTGCTCGAGGAACCTGCGATGGGGGCCGGGCATGTAGTTGCGCATGTCTTGGATGAAGCCATGAGACGGTCCGACTGGGGCTGGGCTCCCTGGCTCTGTTCGCTTCTCGCCAGTGGGTCGGTGCTCGACGCCGAGGACTACATCGAAGAACTGGATGATGGAGCTTTGCGCGTTACTGCCACCACTAAACTGCACATAGGGCTGTTGGCCAGTGCCATCGTCGAACATGACTCCGTTTGGAAGCCCAGCATCTCCCATATTCTTGCTTCCTGCGAGGAACGGTCGGATTCGGTGATAGAATACGTGAGGATCGCAACTTTCGTACATGCGCTCGAGGAGTGAGCCAATCTCATCTAGCCTCTCTGAAAATGACCTCAGACACTGTACTATAGTGTCGCTGTCGTTACGCCTAGCTGCTGCAATAGCTTCAATCATCATCGGAATGATTGGTCCGGCTCTAGCTTCGATTGCCACTGAGACGAGGTAGAACCATGATTCGTCCAGCGAACCGGTAAAGGTCATCTGCGTTGCAAGATTGTCCAGAGTATCTGTAGGCTCACCATCGAACAGTGGCCGCCAGTTCCACAAGCAGACGGCTGCAAAGGTAGCGACTGGCGGTAGCTCTAGATGCTTGCATGTTTGGAGAAATGGTATGGAAATGGATGGAGGTACAATCTATGAATTCCCGTTAGTTGTGCGCGACTTTGTAATATGGAAACTGTCAAAACTTACATCGGCTGGCTTATCACCTCCCCAGATGTATCCATGCGCAATGAAGCTGAGAATAGAATATGCTCGCCGCCATTCGGCCTCGGTGAGAAGAAGGTCAGTCTCGAGAACAGGCAGCGCATCCACTATCCGGCGGAGTCGCTTGGAAAGTATCAAGCTCTGAAAGTTGCGTACGATGGTTTCCCAAGGTTGGTAGTAGCGATCTGGCAAGACGTCGAGCGGTACCTCATCCGGCAAGAAGCCATTCCGAGCCGAGACATCATAGTCACTCAATTTTGGTAGCTGTGGAAGCATTGCGGTCGGTATTTGTGGTGGGGTGGAGGTGAAGGAGTTCTCGGGGGGTTACACTTTTGGGAAAGTTTGGGTTGTTAAAAGGGCAAAAGGTCCTAAATTCGGAGGTCGAACGTCGGAGGCTCTAACAAGGCTGGACGAAGTGGACCCCTAAAACGATTGTTGCCACGAAAGCCGTTTACCCCATATATAGGTCCCAGTAAAAATAGGAGCTTATACCGGATTCATAACAAGAGAAAGAATCTGGAGAACAGAGAGAGAGAGAGAGGCTGGGAGCAAAAAAAAAGAGAAATGGGGCGCGATTAGGAGGTTCGCGTGTGGGACGAAAGGAAATCCAGCCCGGCTTCGGTGGGAAGGGTTTCGGAAGTACTCGCCCCACGTGCCTAGTTCTTCCGAACTAGGCCCTACCCAGCTCAACGTCAACCACCAGCTCAACGTCAATTTTGCTACCCCCCACCACTTTGACTCAATTTTTCTCCACAACAA